TCCCACCTCCAAAATCCGCCCAGGAGGGATCGGAACCAGGCTCACCTCCAGAGTGGGGTGGGGATTTGGACCCCACAAGCCCTGACCCGGCTCAGACCGAGGATTTGGGGCACCAGGGGCTTTGGGATACCAAAAAACCCAAAAATGGGGGCAGAGAGAGAGAGAGAGAGAGAAAAGCACAGGGAGAGGCATCCCAGAAGTGCCGGATTCCAGGGATGCAGGGGCAAAGCGAGGCCGGGAGGATGAGATGGCACCAACCCCGCGCATCTCCAGCGGCTCAGCCACACCAAAGCCCCATCCCGGGGTGTCCCCAGGGCAGAACCCCAAAATGCCAGGATGGGATTTCTCCACGGGCTCCCCAGGAGTCGCTTCCACCTGGTTTTTCCCGTCCTGTCGCTCATAAGGACTCGCGTCTCCCTTGTTTATGGGAGCACAAAAGGAGCAGACTCGCACAACTCTTGCTGCCGAGCATCCCTGCCATGCATTTTCCTACAATAATTAACCGTGCCGGCTCCTACCACCAGCCCGAGGTCAATTTAATGAAATAAAACACCTTATATGGCCAACACACCATCACTGAGCCTATTTAGGGTCTTTGTTTGGAGAGGATCCGCCTCTGAGGTTCCTCGGGCTCGCTGGTATTTATAGCCAGGGCCCATCGGGGCTCGGCCCCAGAGGAAAGGAGCTCTCGCCTCTCTGGTGAGTACTGCCCTGCTTCTCTTCATCCTCGGAGATCAGGAGGAACACCCCGGGCGGGCGTTCTTGGGCTTCCCCAGCGCCGATGGGGTGGCCCCAGCTGGGTTTGGGGGTGCCAACCTGGGCGTGACCTCGCTGGAGGTGGCCAGAGCCGGGCTGAGGCCAGAGCAGGTTGTGCTCTTGGAGAAATCTCTGTGATTTGGGGTGGGTTTTTTTTGGCTTTTTTCCCTGTTTCCCTCCGGATTCAGGAGCTCGCCCTCTGGCACAGGGGGGCACCCCCCGGTAATTTTTTTCCCCCCCCGTTTTTTTGGGAGTGGATGTGAGACAGAAGCGGATGAGAGAGCATCACCTGGCACCCCCCCGCCCGCTTTTGGGGGGCTCGGCAGCAGCGCAGCCCCCCGGGGAGCGCGGGCAGGAGGCTTTGGCACCGCTTTTGGCCAGCGGCTGGAGGAGGATGGAGAAGCAGCACCCACAGGGGAGCGAGCATCACCAGCACGCCGGGCTCCCACCACCCCCGGCCCGCCGAGGATTTCACGGGGCCGCCCATCCCCGAGGATTCCGGCGCTTCCCAGCCCAAACCCGGATCAACCCCGTCCCCTCCCGCTCCCTAACGCCGCTCTCCCCCCTCGGCAGCTTCCCC